CAGCTGCTCCTGGAGGATCCCAGGCCACATGAGATATGTGATCCTCCAGTGAGTTCTGGTCTCCTCCTAGAACCCTCCAGAGAAGGTCCAGGAACCTTTTGAACCTCCCAGTCAGTGAGTTCCAGCCTCGTCTGGAGCCCTGAGAGTGCAGCCTCCGGCTCTGCAGACACACCCTTCTCGCTGTTTGTCTCAGCTTTGGTCTATTAGCCTTTGTTTTGTATTTTAGATTGAGTCAAACTCTTTTATTTTTTCTGCTGAAGGTTTACAAAGTGAGGTATTCATCTGATTTAGATTTTGGACCAAACTAAGCTGTCAATACATGTTTAATTGTTCTATACTGGCTGATGTGGGGCTTTAGTATAATTTGTTGTGGAATAATAATGGGTAATATGGACATTAACATTGTGTCATGGAACATCAATGGCTGTGCCACACGTATTAAAAGGAAAAAGTACTTAGCTATCTTAAGTCTCATAGCACTGATGTTGCATTTATTCAAGAAACACACTTTGGAAATGAAAACGAAACCTTGAAATTAAAAAGAGATTGAGATTGATCAATAATAGCCGCGGTGTTATGATACTTATTCATAAAAAACTAAATTTTATTTTATTACAACAGTTAAAGGATGAAGATGGCCGACGGTTTTGTCTTCAGGCACTTATTAATGGAGTTAAGGTTGTTTTGTGTAATGTTTATGCCCCGAACAGGGATGATCCTCATTTTATAGATGAGGTTAATAAGACGTTGGGAAGCATAGAGGGATGTGTTTTATTAGGTGGAGACTTTACTATTGTGTCAGATGAATGTATCGATAGGAGTGCAATCAATGTAGCCTCAACCTCAAAAACGATTAGCATTAAACTCCCTCAAAGACGATATTGGTCTGGTAGATATTTGGAGACTTGTACATCCTTTGGAAAAAGAATACACCTTTTATTCCCACTCTCACAAAACGTCCTCCCGAGTAGATTATTTTTTGATATCCAATTCGTGTGTTGATTTAGCAGAAATAGGTGTTATTGCTTTAACGGATCATGCACCTGCAGAACTGCACATCAGTTTACTGGTTGAAAAAAACAGTAAAGGAAGATGGAGACTGAATTCAAGTATACTACAAGACGAACCATTTGTATCAACACTAAAAGAGGATATAGAATATTTCCTAGAGGTGAATGTTGGGTCTACTGAAAGGCTGGCTGCTGTGTGGGATGCTCTGAAGGCGTTTGTTCCTGGAAGGTGTTTGGCTCACAGCTCTAGAAAAGTTAAAGAAAATAAAGAAAGGATACAAACTTTGGAGAAAGATTGGTTGGAAGTACCTATGAAACACAAGCTTATTCCATATGTTCAAAAATATGCCCCCTTGTGGCATAATCCTAAAATTAAAATTGGTAGACAAACTATTTATTGGGCACAGTGGTTACGGAAAGGTATTAGAACTGTTGATGATTTATTGGAGGGGGATGTATTCATGTCATATAATGATATCAAATGCAAATTGAACTTGGAGGGCCGTCACCATTTTGGAAGTATTTACAAATAAGGGATTGTTTAAAAGAAAAAGTTAAGATATTACCAGAGAGAAACCAAGTGGAGACCTTTCTGCTATCACCCCCTCTGTTATGTAAAGCCTAAAAATGGTATAATGTTTGCCCATGGGCTACAAAGAACACGAGTAAAAGCCTGAAGGTAATATGGGAAAAAGATTTAGGTTGTACAATAGATGATGATGATGAATGGCAT